TCCGTTGAACAAAACGGTTTGGTTTAACTAGTTAAACCAATTTGACATTTGACTTAGGTTGACCCAGATTGAATCGAATGATTTTGAGAGAACCAGCTTTGATCCGAAAACCAGAGCCGAGTCAACCCGGTTCAAAGCCAAAAAAATTAAATAAAAAAATTAGGCTAAGTTGCTTAAATTCAAAATTTCTCTTCTCTAATCACTAATTCTCTCTTTTCTTCTCTTCTCTAATATCAAATTTTTTCTTCATGGTCCAAACTCAATCTCTAACTTCTCCTCTAACTCTAGAAATCTCACCTTTAGCATCGAGACCAGAAGCTTGTGAGTCATGACATGACGGCGTGCTTCCAACTTCAACATTTTCCTTTGAGATCACAAGCTTGTACTGACATGCCTCTGCCTATAGCTCCAACGGTCTAACATTTAGCTTTTGGAGTCAAGATCCTAAGCACAATTGACAAATTACTGTTTTATTTATAAGTTGCACATCTAAATATTTTTTTATTTAATTTTTATATCACCAGTTTGATCGCTAGTCTATCCAATTAGACCTGAAAACCGCGACCTGTTGCTTTTTCTGGTTCGATGTCCAGTTCAGGTTTCAAAACACTGACACAAACACGCTCTGGGTGTGCTCTGGTGAAATCATTAAAGCTAGGTTACAGCAACAGAGTTTATTCGTCACTGCACTACAATGTTTTTTCTTTAGGCAACACTTTTTTGATTGCAACAGTTCTAAAAGTGTTGCTTAATGTGGGTATAATCAACAATTTTGTGTATTGATATTGATGCCAGTAGAAGCAATTTGAAAACTATTTCCTAAAATAAAATAGGTAATAATTTTCAAGTGCTGCAATAAAAACTTTCAAATAGGCAACATAAAAAGACTGTCGCCTATAATGAAACTTCTATTAATCGTTAAACCATGCCTTTGACTAAAAATTTTACATGTGTAACCTTCTCGTTCCTCCTCTTTTTGGGATAAACAAAGGAAACCTATAAAATTACCCTAACCGTGTAGCTTCTGTGGAGCTCTTCTTGGGCTAGTCTTTTTGAATTACACAAACCAATGTTGTTGAAACTGGACTAGATCAGACGGTTTGATCGGTTTGACCACCACCCGCTGAACAAAATGATTTGGTTCAACCAATTGAACCAATCTGACATTTGACCTAGATTGAATCAGACGGTTTTGAGAGAACCGTCTTTGATCCAGAAATTGGAGCCAGGTCAACCCGGTTCAAAACTAAAAAAAAAAAGAATTTTAAGCTAAGTTGCTTAAATTTATAATTTCTCTTCTCTAATAACTAATTGTCTCTTTTCTTCTCTTCTCTAATATCTAATTTCTTCTTCATGGCCCAAATTCAATCTCTAACTTTTCCTCCACCTTTGGCATCGAGACTAAAAGTTTGTGAGTCATGACATGACGGCGTGCCTCCAGCTCCAGCATTTTCCTTCGAGATCACAAGCTTATACTGACATGCCTCTACCTCTAGCTCCAATAGTCTAAGCATCTAGCTTTTGGAGTCGAGATCTTAAGCACTATTGACAAATTAATGTTTTATTTATATAATTGCACATATAAATATTATTTTTTATTTAATTTTTATATCATCGATTTGACCGCCGGTCTAATCAGTTAGTTAGACCGTGAAAATCGCAACCCGTTGCTCTTCCGATTGATGTCCAGTCTAAGTTTCAAAATTCTGACGCAAACAAGCTCTGGGGGTGCTCTAGTGAAACCATTAAAGCTAGGCACAGCAATAGAGTTTATTCATCACTGCACTACAATGTTTTTTCCTTAAGGCAACACTTTTTGATTGTAACAGTTCTAAAAGTGTTGCTTAATGTGGGTATAATAACAATTTTTGTGTATTGATATTGATGCTAATATTAAGCAATTTGAAAACTATTTCCTAAAATAAAATAGGCAATAATTTTCAAGTGTAGCAATAAAACTTTCAAATAGGCAACATAAAAGACGGTTGCCTATAATGAAACTTCTATTGCAACCTTTTAAAATTGTTCCTTATTTTAATAGGCAACAAAAAATTAATGTTGCCTTCTCTTTCGTCACATTTAAAAACTATTGTCCATTGTTTTTCTACTAATAAAAAATTCTTTTCATTTTTTTGATAACTTATCTACATTCTTTTTATTTGTTTATTTATTTTTATTTTCTTAATTTTTTTATTAATTAGAAAATTTAAAATTTAATTTAAAAATTATGTTTTCCTACCAGAATTTAATAATTATCTATATATATATATATATATATAATGTAAAGGTGCAAATTGACTTTAGAACTTTTCTTTCAAGGGCGCTTAGTATCTTGAATTTTTTTGAACCGATGTTGCCCTGAAACTTTTTAAAATGGTGCAATGTTATCCTACCATCAGAGTTGACTCTTTTTGTCTGACTGGACTTGTCACATGTTATTTTTTTAAAAAAATAAAAAATACTAAAGGTGTAAATTTACTTGGAACTTTTCCTCCAAAGATGCCTAGTATCCTCAACTTTTTTAGGGAGCAATGTTGCCTCGAAACTCTCCAAAAAGGTGTAATGTTGCCTTGCTATTAGAATTAATCATTTTGTTTGACTTCACTTGCCACATGGTAGCCACATGACATTTTTAAAAAATTAAAAAAATGACGTTCCTTCTGTTCTTGTGTCTCAATTACACATCGCTCTCCCTCCTTCACATTCGACCATTCTTCTTGTCTTCATTCCTCCCTCCTCCACCTCGGCATTTGCAAGACAAAAGCTAAATGAGAAGCACATAGCTGTCGCCTACTAAGTTGTTACTTATCCCTACTTGGCATTGATCAATCTGAGTTTTTAATTTCTTGTTCTTGTTTTTTGGATATTTGGGTTGTTCTTGAATTGTTGAGTTCTTGAGTTGTGTTCTTTATTTTCTTCCTCTCTGCCCCTTGCTTTTGATTGTTTTCGATGTTGAAAATTTGGGTTTGATTGTTTTTTGATGTTCGAAATCTGAGTTTGAATTTTCATCTTAGTGTTTGAGTTATTTTGCATTTTTAATCTTGTGGATGAAGAAGAAGAAGCTAATAAAGACGAAACATAGCTCTTTTATTTTTTAATGTTTAAAAAAATGCCATGTGGTAAGTCAGACAAAATGGCCAACTCTAACAACAGGGCAACATTACTCTAAAAAAAAGTTAAAGATACCAAGCGCTCTTGGAGGAAAAGTTCTAGAATAAATTTGCACTTTTATCATTTTTTTAATTTTTAAAAATGCCACGTGGTAGCCATGTGGCAAGTTCAGTCAGACAAAATAATCAACTCTAATGGCAGGGTAATATTGCACCATTTTGAAAAGTTCCGGAACAATATAGCCCCAAAAAAAAGTTCAAAATACCAACCGCCCCCAGAGAAAAAGTTTCAAAGTAAATTTACACCTTTACCCATATATATATATATATATATATAATATTTTACTTTATAATAACTAAAACTCATGTTGGAAGAGTGGTTGAGCTATATTAGGGTTCAAATCTTAAGTGAGGGAGGAAATATTAAATTTTGTCTATTTAATATTTTCGTAACAATTCTTAAGTGTTGCCTATATTTATATAATAGGTAACAAGTAAAAACTATTGTTTATTTCAACACTCTAAAAATGTTGCCTATTGTCTTACTATAAGCAACGGTTTTATAATTTATGATCTAAAATATATATAAAAAAAAAAACCATTACCTTAAACTACAGTCTATAGGAAACGGGGACAAGTCTCACACTCAAAAGCTGTTTCCTATACCTATACGCACAGATAAAAAATGTTACACAGTGTCATCATCTACTTTAGCCATAAAACCAGCAACAAAGTTCCCCTGTGAGTTTCGAATCAAAACCCTACTAGCCACAACTTCAGATACTTCACAGAATGCTCCTTTTTGTCACCCACTATGGCGGTGGGGCCACCCACCCTCCTTGCCTTCAATTCTAGTGAAGAGAAGCCATAGCATGCTGACCTATCTTGGCATGAGCTTCCAGCGTGCTCTCACACATAAGTCGTCAATGGAGAAGCAATATAGCTCGAATTGAACACTGTGAGCCCAAAAACTTGGTGATGGCAAGGGAAAGTGATGGAATAAAGTGCTTCTTTAGTTTTGGTAGATGGTGGTTGAAAATGGAGGATGAAAATGAGTCACCGTTGTTGTTTTGATTCCTCATTGTTGATTTGGAATTGGTTTCTAGGGAGGAAGGAATGCAGATGCTATTGCAATGTGTGATGGATTTTTTTTTTTAAATGTCACTTAACAAAAAAAAATGTCAAAATAATGGTTAATAAATGGTTTCACTAATGATAAGGCAAAATGACTTCCTTCTTTAAAGTTATGGGCCAAAATTTCTCTAATTAAAAAGTAATGATATTAGTACTTCTTTCAGAAAACTTTTAAAATATTTTTTTTCCTTAATCTTATTTGAAATTTTTTACAAAAACTTGTCTTGTTCCTCAATCCTAACTCAAATGGTTGGAATATAAAATTGTAGCTAAAACTATTATTTTATCTAAACAAATAAATTTTGTAAAAATAATTATTTCCAATTATTATTGGTGATGCTATATCCAGGACAAGTTAGGCATGCATACAGGAATGATGAAATTAATGTGATTACTCTTTTTTATATGTCACTTACTATGTATTTATTGCAAGCAAAAAAATTTTTAAAATTCATTAATTTGATCTAAATTTAATAAGTTTTCAACTCATTTTTTATTAAATATATATACATTAATATATTCTTTTCTATCAACATTTAACTGAGGACTAAAAAATTGAAAAAATTACATTCAAAAAACTAATAAAAAATTTATTTATAATTAAAAATAATACAAAATAAATTATTGATAAAATAAGGACATGAATTTATTTATTTATTTTTTAAATAGAACTTATCATTAATCATTCTCAATCCATAAGTTTTTATGTAAATTTCTTCTCACCTCTCTTACAAATAAAATCGCGAGCATATATTTACCTGTAGAAGCAAGAACCAAATCAGAGGGTAAACTAGACAAGCTAGCGGAGTTGGAGGCCACCGGAAGTTCTCTCATCCGAGACGGAGAGACTCTGAGAGAAGACGCGCAGGATGTCTCTGGTGGACTATGCTTCCTCTTCGGAGGACGAAGCTCCCGATTTCGTTGAAGAGCCCCAACTTCCTCAGGACAAGCCACCAGCACAGGCCTCAGCCTCGACATCGGAACCTCCACCTCCTCGGACGCAGTAATTCTCAGTTTCTTTTGACCTCCGTTTCATTTTCTTTGCATGCTGATATCACTGCCTTTGAGAAATTGATTGTTGAGAAATTGGTTGTAAGTTATTAACGGGTTACTGTGTCCACTTGCTCATTGCTTAAATGAGAAAAATGATTGTACATGGATTTCTATTTAAAGACGGTTGATTGATATCCGGATACTCACGAATACCGGATTGTGCTTGGTAGGAATTCAGACCTCAGTGTGCTTTTGGGAAGGTGAAAATGGAGGAATTTAACATCAGGAATGTTTCTAGACTTTTAATGTTCCAATACTCTGCTAATCTTCACTCGCCCATTTTACACGTTGCCCTTTCAGTCCTACCAAGTGTCAACCACACCTTCCGTTAGGGTTGTTTGACACCGATTACACCCTCCTAAACAATGAATTAAATCGCGGAAAAACTAATCAAAATGACTGAAATTGTTCTAGTTCTAATGTTCTTTAAAGGGAATCCAGCAGGTTTGGTCTCCTTTTCGGTTGGAAATTTTCCCGATCGACTGTTGGAAATTTCATGTCTATAATTTTAGAATTTGGGGTTAAGGTCTAATTTTGCTTCTAAACTATTCTTAGAGAAGCAATGTTGTCCTTAAACTATTCATCATAGCAATATTACTCCTAAACTAATAAAATCAGAGCAACGTTGCCCCTGTCATTTAAGCATTTATTACTGTAGCTAGTGGGCCTACTTTTTATGAGTTAAGTTGTAATTTTCCCCTAAACTATTTTTAGAGGAACAATGTTGCTCTCGCCGTTTAAAAATCATAAAAATCCGTTAACTGTAGCCAGTAAGATCCACTTTTCATTGTCTCTTTCTATTTAACATTAAATCAGGTAAGGATTTCAACTAAACTGTAGTATTCTAGTTGCTGAATTGGTTTTTGGATAATCACTGTATGATGGTCTTTGTATAGAATTTTTTGTTTATGATGCACATAAGAGAGTAGATTTATTTATGATAGTTAATTTTGTGGACTGATCCACTCAAGATGATAAAAAGCGACTTTTTACTTGAAAAAATTGTTTATATGCTTTTTGTTGGATTAAGAGCTCCTCTTGTAATATTGTCAATGTGAATTTATACTTCAACTATTGTCATATTTGTCACTGAAGAAAATTAGTGCAAAAATTGAGCTTCTTTTCAATGTATAGTTCATGACTCATTGGAATGTTAGTGGAGAATATTATGACAAAGATAAATGCTTTCACATAAATGCTGGATGTTAGAAAGGATATAAATGAAATGACATTAGTATAAAAAGTACTTTTCATTATTTCTCTCTAATTAACAAACATTTATGATTTTAAACGACAGGGGCAACAATGTTCGGATTTAATTAGTTTAGGGCAGACATTGCTCATTTGAGAATAGTTTAGGAACAAAATTGCACCTTAACTCATGAAAAGTAGATTCCATTATCTATAATTAATGAATGTTTAAATAGCAGGGAGCAACATTGCTCCAATTTTAATTAGTTTTAGAGGGCAACATTGTTATGATGGGTAGTTTAAGGATAACATTGCTCTTCTGAGAAACCTCAGCTCAAAGGAAGGTTAGTTGTGAAATACTGACATGTTGATGTTATGGAATTCTTCCATTAGCTTCTGTAAGCCTATGTCGCACTCACTATACATTCTTAAAATCTAGTTTTTTGTTTTTACAGAAATTTAAGGACATTAGACAATGCCCCTAAATTGAAGTTGGCTTGAGAGTACTGCTGCAGTCTGTTATTTACTCAATTTATATTTTGTTTTATTATGATAAATTTGCTATATTTTTTAGTATACTGTATTTTGGACTACTGGCTAATTTTGTGTGACTTTCTGTTAATATCATTTTTAATTGATAAAGAAGAAAAGGAAAACAGAAGTAAACAAAAATGGGAAAAGAAATATAAATTGTCTCAGACAAGCCTCCAATCGTTGTGTGAATCAGAATAGAACATATCCTCTGAATAATAATGTTAAAGGAAGTAGGAAAACCTACTTTTATCAATAAGCTTGCAGATGAGGATCTCTCGCTAAAAATTCTTGCATCATATGGCTTACAGGCTATCTGAAAAGGCTTAGCTCCTCCTCAAAACCTTACCCTCCTTCCTACTTTCCAACTTCAGAAATGGGCGCAGAGAAACTTTCGAGGAAAGTAGATAAATCTGATGAAATCCTTAGCCAGAGAAGAACAGTGAGATCAGATCGGAGCATTATTGGAAGTAGAATATAGAGTAAATACACCATTTGGTCTCTAAATGAGTCTGAGATACCTCAACAGTTTATTCTTTAGATTTCATCGGCTAAATGAGTCGGTCCTTCAAAGTCTGTAACTTGCTATATGTTACCCTCACTGTTGGATCAAATTGTTTATTTACTCAACTGTGAGGGGCTTGCTCAATTGCACATGCAGTTAGTTACGAAGTGACTAATTTGTATGGAGAAATAAGTACAAGTATTAAATCATAAGGAGGTATAGTTTTACGGGACCAAATTATATACTTACTTCAGACTTAAAAATGCAAGCAGGGTGGAAATTCCACCAAAAGGAACACGTATTTGGGAACCCCTAGTTGTATTGGAAGTTAAGGAAAGAAAGAGGGGGTATTCATGGGAGATGAACTGCAGCATTAACTGCCATACAGAGCGGAGAATTTTCCAAAATTCCATACCATAGTTCTCCTGGCTACACAGAAATTTATACTGGAGGCGTATTCTGCTGCTTTTGTATCTTCTATTGTATACTTCTGTTGATTTTATTGTATTGAAATGTTGAACTTTATTTATGAGACAGATGAGGTGTGTTGTCGTCTCCCTGTTTTTCTCAATATGACTATACTTTAAACTTACTGACTTTTGAATTGCCGACATATTTTTATTTGATTCAATACGGGTTTCATAGATTCTTGCCAGTCAAATTTCTTGACATTACAACGCTTGTGTGTCTGGATCAAACTTGGAATGTCGAAACGAAACAAAAGCAAATTATCTAACCTCATAATGGTTTACTGACACTGTTTGAAATTGGGTGGTAATAGATATGATCATAAATCTACTGTTTGGTGTTCATCTTCTCACGTTTTTCTGTTCTTGTTTTAGCCTAAAGCTGAGATTACAGCTTGTATATGGGACTACATAACATATTCTCATCCCTAAATGCGTCTGTTAGAGGATCCTCTGTTGAAATGATACGAATACTCATGGAACTCTGATTGTGTATTTTACAGGAGTAACGTTGTTACAGAAGACATAAGCAAGCTATTTGTCGAGAAGCCCAGCAAGCCTTCATCAGCTCACTAAAGATCACATAATGATGAGTGACTAACTTTCGGGTCAGCTACACACGTGGTACTGTTAACTTTGGAAGGGCTTGTTAATCTGTATTTCGTACTCTGGTTCATGGGCTACTTTGTGGTTATTTACACCCTTGGGCTTTTCTGAACCTTTGTAGGAGAAGAAATTGATCTATAATGTGTATGAAACTAGTGGGAGGAACATGTATTTTTTTCAGTGAGATGGATATGAATTTTGTGCGGGTTTCGTCTTTTAAGAGTGTTCATCTCTTATTTGAACAAATTGTTATTTATTTATTTATGAAAAAATCAAATTTAAAATTGGGAAAATGAAAAAAAAAAAAAGTTGCCCTTAAAATATAGAAATAACAATTAAGTACTGTAAAATATGATAATTATTATTTAGTCCTTAGGAACTTGTCTAATATTTTGATTTTTGACAGAATGACGTATTTGTTTTCAGTAACTATTAAATGTTGGGAAATGATTATCTTGGTTAGGTTATTGAATAAAATGGAAAAGAAAATAACTACTTTCTTTCTGAAATTTTGCTTATCAATCAGCTATAATTATAGTTATTTTGAAGAAAGAATTAGTCATTTTCTATTATGTTTATAAATCAAAAATTTGCTGAAAGGAATTAGTCAATAACTCAATTAAATAAGTTATTTTCCAACACAAAACAGTATTTGATTTTTAGCATTTGTATTTGCATTTGATTGATAAACAAAATTGTAAAAAGAAATTAGTTATTTTTAGATTTTTTTTGTAGTTAATAATCCAACCAAAATAGTCATTTCCCAACTCATAATGGTTAATAAAGATGAATATATCATTTTATCAAAAATCAAAATGACAAGTCTCTAAAAACTAAATAATAATTACAATATTTTGCAGTACTTAAATTATGATTTGCATATATCTGAGGTAACGTTCTGTGATTCTTCCATTAATTTTGTTTTTTTAGCTGCCTATTCTCCCATTAATTTTTTTTTTTTGGGTAGAATCCCCCATTATTCTCCCATTAATTTTTTTTTGGGTAGAATCTCCCATTAAAATTTTGTGTGTTCAATATGATCCATCTAACTCATGTTGTTAGGCCCACAAGTGCTTTAGATGGGTACAATATGTTTGCGTCACAATTTACAACACCTATTATCTTCACAGGTGGCCCGGGCCCAATAGATCTTCACAGGTTTTAGGTTTATGTCAAGATCTAAATTTGATTTAATACAAATAAAAAATTATTTAAAGCTTTTGTTTTGGCCGAAAAATTATTTAAAGTTGACCTCAACCCAACTTAGTCTATGTCAAGTTGAACATTATTTAAGATAAAAATTAGCACATTCATTTGGATGAATTTGGTGCCTTTATATAAAAAGTAGCATATTCTTTTAAAAATTAAGTCAAAACACGAAAGCCTAATTTAACAGTAATTTACCATCATTTAAAAAAATAAATATTTTATTATTTATCGCCATAAGAAAAAATTAAGATGCACGGGATTAGGAAGAAAACTCTGCCCAAAAAAATTACTGTTCTTACAAAATTGTAGACTGAGTATTTCATAATCTATATACAAAATTATAAATTATATCCTCAATGTCATACACAATAGTGGATTTTTAAGTTATTGTTATAAAAAAAAATATAACAAAATATTAAATAATTTTTGTACTGTAGAAAGAACCAAGCTTTTACTGTACATAAACAGTATTTTAAACGGAATTTACAAAAGGTAAGATGTTTAGGCCAAAAGTGTACTTGAATTTTTTTTAATGTTTGTTTTCTTAACATCATCGTCTCTTTTTGAGCACGTGCTCTGATAATGATACACTCCACTATTGCAGCACACTCTTTTATGGGAATTTGACTGGAATACGAATTTGATTTAAAAAAATTATAAGTAATACCAGTAATAACATTTATAAAATTTAAATTTAAATAATAATATTGTCTTGTTAGATAAAATAAAGTTTTGTTTAGATATATATATATATATATATTCAATTTTAAGATAAAAAATGAATGAATGTTAAACTTTTTTTAAAAAAAATTGAGACTGTTAAGAAATAATAGATTTTTTTATTAGGATTCATGTTATTTTATTTATGTAATTAATAATATATCTAATTATTAAAATTATTGTTTTTTTTATGTCTAATGGGTTAGAAAATGCATGTCAATGAAATCATTTCAAATAACTTCTTAACTAATATTAATATAGACAAAAGGAAAAAAACATTCAAGAAGTCGTCGGCCGAAAACATTCCATGAGAAAAAATGAGAAAAAGTGTACGAATGCTTATGAAATTATTTTTTTGATATATTTGTGGCTAAATTGTTAAATTTTATATCCACAACTTAATTGTTAATATTATTGACTTCTAAAGATTTGGTCACGAGTACATTTAAAAAAATAACTTCATGAATATTCATATATTTTTTCTCTTTTTAGGCTATCAAATGCTCTCAGTCAGTCAGTGACTTCTTGAAAATTTTTATCGCTTTGCCCATATTAATATTATAATAGGAGGAAGTCATATTTTGCCAAATCCTTGTGCTTCATCAGAGAACTTTAAAATTAATCATGACTAAATCCCATGCTGTGCATCGTTTAGACATCAAATAAAAGCGCTGGTAAAAAAAAAAAAAAAGACATCAAATAAAGCATGATAAAGGCACAAACCCACCCAACTTCAATGAAACACTTTATTAAATTGTTGTTAGGAGGCACATGAGATTTAAAAAGTAGAGGTAGTTGATGTTGGATTTAAAAGCAAGTTAGATACACCACAATAATTTAAAACACAAATGAAAATAAAGGATAGTTTCACATAATAACTATTTATTATTATTTTTTGATTATTTCATATTTGTTTTCAATTCCATATGAGGATTTTTTTTTCCTCCAAAAAACAAACTATCATGATTGCTCAATCATGTTAAAGTTTGAATTCCACTCATTAACTGTTATTAGATATTAAATTCTTTCAAGGATAATTCATTAATATTCTCCCTATAATTTAAAAAACATTATATATATATATATATCATAATAATCAGACTGAAATGAGTAATAGGAAAAAAAATTAAATTGGTAAGTTAAATATGAAAGATAAAAGAACATCAAAACAAAAAAAAAAACAAAAATTCTTGTGATTCATGTCAAGAACTAACAAAACTAACAAATTGATGTTCGTAGTATTCTTCTATTGCTTCTACTTTCGGGTAGTTTATTGCTGTAACTTATCACTCAAAAAACAACTTTTATTGATGCCTCCATAAAAATTACTTCCTTCCAACCAAAATATATAGTATTGGTAACTAATTTATGATTCTCACAAAATGTTAGTTGAAACCTTAATCTTTTAAAAAAAAAAACTTACATCTTTTTAATTTTAACTCATTAAATATTTTATATAAGTGCTTTTGATAATAATAATTAAAATTCTATACATCATTTTTTTCAAAAAGAATAATAAATGAAGTGAAAGTATAGTTGAAAAAATAATTTTAAAAATTACCTCATATTATATATTTTGAACCAAATAGTGATGTTATATATTATGATTTAGAAAGAGTACATAATAATAAAGTCAAGTCAACACCAGCTGCTTTATACTACACAAACCTTCTATCTCATTCTACCCTTCCACACATAACAAATTAAGGAGAATTATATTTAAATCTCATATAAAAAAAATTAATTACTCAAAAATCCATTACAACTCAACAAAGGCTATTAAATGTAATGCTTTCAACAAACTACCTGAAACAAAGTGGAAAACAGATCACTATACATATTACTATCCTTCTTCACATTTGACTTGTCTACACTCAACAGAATCACTCCAAGAATTGCCTAAAAGGGAAGAAACAGAGAGAGAATCAAATTTCATAAGGAAGAGTGACCCTTTCCCATTAGCACAAAAATAAGCTTTGCTTAAATCAACATTCCCTCATCAATTCCAAGCCCCACCCCAGGTACTGTTTAGAAAGCTGCTGGCCACTAACAATTAACTTCCTTAATTGTCAAATCTTACATGATTTTCTTGAATTTGCGGCTTCAAAAAGCAAGAAGATATGACAGAAAAGAAAGAAAGATTCAATACTGAGCTCCACACCGCAAAAAATGCAAGCCCACTCATCGATTTGGCTCTGTTCAATTTAGAACATATGGTACTATTCACAACATAGAAGATGGAATATAACTTGTAAACCTGCATCAGGGACAACATATTTAGTAAGAGACCAAAACTTAACCCCTAAAATATCAATCATCATATCTGCTAAATCTACACGAATCAGCATAATCTTGAAGATAAAAATTGAGTTATTTGACTTTCCCATACAAATATGATGTTCCACAATGTCTATAATAAAATATCTCAAATGGAAGCTATGACAAGACTAAAATTGGATCTTCATGTAACAATGTTTTCCTCACATCACTTGCTCATATAATCATTGACTTCTAATCTTGCTCGAGCTTTGGAACAGGAGAACACAAGAAGAGAAATATTAGGCCCTGCTTGTTTTTTTTTTTTTAAAGCTGTTTTTGGTTTTTGAAATTAAAAAGATAAAAAACTTATTTGGATTAGTATTTTCAATTTAATTGTTTTCATTTTTGGTTTTTTAAAACAAAAAAATTAAAAATAAACTCAAGTTGTTTTCATTTTATTTTTCTTATTTTTAAAATATATTACATTTGATTATTAAAAATTACAGTTAATTTGACCAATTTTTATTATGAAGTACCACTATTACCCATATATAGTTATTACTATCAGTCTACTTTTTCATTCTAAAACTGTTTTTAAATTAATAATAACTAAGCAGATTTTTATTCATTTACCTACTTGCTACTATGGCAATCACTGACTTCTAAATATGCCTATTTCAAGCATTGTAAGATGAAACAAGTAATCATTCGAAGTGAGCTTATAAGAATGCAATATGAGCTGTTAAGAACAATAATCCCAGTGTTATTTAAAATAAATTGAATATCAACTAACATGGCCCAATATTATTCATGATCTAAAACCAAAGAGACCGTCACAACCCCAAAGCTTCCAAAACAATCCAGTTAATATCATTTGATTCAGTTTAAAAGAATCTTAAAAGTTAAAACCATGAATTTGACAACAGCAAAAAGTTTCAAATGTTAAAAACAATATAAGACCCCAGAAGACCAAGTTAATTTATTAATGGGAGAAGTATATCCAAAGACCACTTGAGCAAATTATCTGCATATAAGGATTAACAATAAATTTCATTTAAAAAAAATGAGTCACATTCTTATTTTAACAATAATCAATTTTATATTGATCCTTATTTGTAAATAATTTGTTTGAATAATTACTGGATGTGATTTTTCCAACATCAATTTATTAGTAAAATACAAACCAGGCCAATTTGTCACTCCAATTTATCAATTTACTATTGATAAGCTAAGTATCAATTTACTTATGCCACAAAAGGTTTCAAAAATGTACGAATGATATACATGATTAGGTATTACATTGAATCGACCTAAATAGTAAATATTCATTGTTTTACTTGTAAATTTGTATTGTTTGAGTGGTAAATAGTGTTAAATGTCTTTTTAGTTTTGATTTTGTGCTATGTGAATGGATGTTCTCGTAGTTTGACTGATAAATTTGCACTATGTTAGTAGTAAATTTGAGGTCCTTCTTAATGATTAATTTGGGAATACGGTCCTTCATCATAATTCTCCCTTCTTCTCCTCAATTCAAGACATGTCCATGTGGTAATAGTTAACACATTCATGTTGAGCAATGAGAACATGTTCTAATTATGAACTTTTTTAACAACTATACAGTATTCTATTTTATTGAACAATACATTTTTAAGATGTTATCTTGAGTTCAAGTTTTTTTAATTGGGGAAAAAATTAGAAGATTTACCCTTGTTTGAAATACGATAATACTTAAATTTAATATGATAGTATCAAATATCAAATGCACTATAAAAATAAAAAGAAAAGAAGATGGAATTTTCCTAATGTCTTTTTTTTATATATAATATTTAAATCTTCCAACTTATTTAAAGAATATCAAGTCTTTTGTACTTTGCTAAACCAGTTAACTTGCCAATGTATATAAAATTATGCATGTTGCAATGTGATCGTCTACATTCTTGTTCTGTCTATGATGTTAAGAGAATTGCAAACAAAATTACTCAATGCATTGAGTTAGGTTAAAAAAAAATTGATCTCTTACCAAAAAAAAACAAATTTTGTTGATGAAAAAAATTGCATTAAGAGAATTATAATTAATTTAATATAATAATGCTTAAATATATCCCAACAGTATTTCATACCAAATAATTGCTACTTCATCTGTTCAATATTATAAGACATTTTTTAAATATATCACATTAAAAAAATAAGATATTTTGAGTTTTCAAGTGTAATTAATAAGATTTTTTTTCAAAAATACGAGTAATTAAGGGACGAATTAATAAAAATTTTTAATTAAAATACCATATTAAATAAGGGTAAATATGAAATGAATGTATAAATTTAAAATTAATTAATTAATTAATTAATTGGAGGTGTAATTCTTGTAATGGAGAAGCGAGAAAGTATATATAAAAAATGGAAATAAAAATTGATTATTATTTATTTACCAAAAAATAAATATTACAAAACAATAATTATAAAAAATATAAATATTAATAGAATTTTTTTTTTAACCTTCTGTGTTGTCCAATGCACTTGTGCCACAAAAAAGTCCAAAGCCTTAAAAGGGTGACGTGGAAAAAACATGTCGTAATCAAATTTTGGGGAACAAGATTATAACATTGATAGATACAATAAATATGTCCCCAAAACACAAAATCTTGTCACACTTAACATCCATTATCCAATCAACCAAACATCACCTTTCCCTCCACAAATTAGTGCCTTTCTTGCTTTTGTAATGTTCTGTCATCTTTTTTTTATTTTTATAATAATAATAATAGAAGTTCAAATATAACAAGAAAATGACATTAATAAAAATAATTTAATGCACAAAAAATACATAATTTAAAAGATTTTTAATTTATTTAATCTGAAGTTTTGATGTTAGAGAGGTAGCTACTTATTTCTTATACTAACCTCATAGACAATGCCATGTTAAGATGTGATAGTAAATGAATCTCAATTACATTATCTAATTTTATTCATAAATCACTTCTAACATATTTTATTAAAAAAATCTTAAAATTTATTAATTTTATTTAAATATTATGAAGTTTCTAACTTTGCTGCAAATATATATATATATATATATATTTATGTATGTATATAACACACTTTAATAATATATTTTATCTCATCAATATTTAATGTAAATAATAAAATTATAATAAAAATTTAATAGCATGACAATTAAATAGAACCAAAAAATTATTTTTTTAATCTTGTGACTTGTAAATAAGATGGGAAGAGAGTACTTAGTAGTACTAAATAATTTTATTTAAATAAAAAAATATCAAGACATTCAAAAGTTTTTCATAGTAACTTTTACTTCCCTAACCGCAACACAAAAAATAACAATTAAGGAAATATTTTTCTGATGAAAGAAATTTGTATCAATTATAGATGGTTAAAATTTAGTTGAACGATTGGGAAAATAAGTGTTGTATATAATTTTGAAAGACATGCGAAAAATCGATGAAGCTCGTCTATGGCTCTATCTCTCTCTAGTGATCTATCGTTCTCAGTCTCAGTCACAGGCCCTACCGTGCCGCCGTGTCAAACCCAGCTTCTTCGAAACATCGCCACGCCTTCGCCCTCAGATTTGGCTTATTCTTATCCATAAGCTGCGCCATTCCGATTCTGGTCCGTTTTTCCTTCTTCAACCTTCTCGCCCACTTTTCATGATCTGGCATTTAAAATATCAGTTTACTTTATACAATTCTCCGTTGTAAGTTTTTTTTTTTTTTTAAATATGAAGATTTGTTTATTTTCAAATTGATGGGGTTTCAACTTGGGATTTTTTAATTTTCATAGACAGAGTTGAGCTGGGCGTTTTCACAAACACCTAGGGGCAGTTAAAAGTAACCACATAGACTCTGGTTACTATCACAGACCCCAAAAGATTCCAGAAACCGTGCAATTTTGTCATACGTGTGGGCATCTGTTTCTGCTTTTAGATCTGTGCGTGTCCTTTGCTGTCAGCAAGATAAAGGAAAATTAGGGCTTATAATTTATACCAATCTATGAATCTATGTATGTAAGCTTCTTTCTCTCTCTAGAGATCGATTGAGAGAAGAAAATACAGCAAAGGCTCTCACATGGGTGGATGGTGGTGGGGTTGGACCCATACACACCCTGGCATCTTATAAATGTGTAGGCCTCACTTGCAGTTTCAACAAACCCATACATGAGAGAGAGTGTATCCATGTGGGACCTCCCTCCTTTTCCCCCACCAATAATGGCACAGGAAATAAAGACGCACCACCCCCCACCAAGTTACAAATTTTGAAAATGAAAGTTTAATTGCAGGAACAAAGAGACAAGAATTCATCTATAAATAATAACAAAAGAGATGGGTAGGCAAGGATACAGACCATTTTGTCTTAAAATCTCTACTTTTTTGCATTGTGATTTTTCTTGTAAACCTTTCTCTTTAAGTCTTTGCTTTCTGGTAATCTCTAAAGGGGGTTTGTTGACTGTGTATATAAACTAAGTAGGAATTACAGACAAACTACAACACAATAAAGGTTGACGTCTGAAATCTCCACTTTGAAGCTTTAGCCAGCTAGGAATAACAATCATCCCTTCCCTTTTTCACTTCTGGCCTCCAAAGTCAAATTGTCCATAATGGAATTTGAATGATTGAATCAGCCTCGGTAGTTATAACTCAGCTTTTAACTTTTCTTGTTTTCACTTCATGCTTTCTCAGCTTGTTCCAGCAACACGAGGACTTAATTATACCTGTAAGCTCTAAAACATCATAGGACTAAGACTTGAATACATCCAACCCCTGGTAATTAAAGGAAAGGGGGAGAAGAAATTACAGTACCAGGGACTTTTTTTCTAATACCAATGGACTCAGATTCTATGTTATTTTTTCTTTTACCTGTGGTTCATTCACTTTCAGCTACTACAGAAATGAGAGATGAGAGAGATGGACAATGGTACAATAATGACAATAAAAGAAAAAGGAATGGCTGTGCCCCACATCCTTTACTAAACTGCTTTTTACGTATGCATTTTGTATGGTAGTAAGTAGTATAGTATTGATGATGATGTTGATGGGCTTGGTGGTGATGATTCTCTACAGATTTGTTTGCTGTTCCTGGTCTTCTTTGGTCCATTACTTCTCTCTTCCTGTAAAATTTGTATTTGTATTTGCACAAAACAGACAAAATGAGACCCGACAGACCCCAAAATTTAATAAACAAAGAAACACAGATGCACTATGCAAGTTGAAAGACAAGATGCAATAAAGAGAGCACAGAATTATAAGAGATCCAAAGTCATTTACCTGAAGCTTAGGATGCTAAATGGCAATGGGTCCACCACCCTTGCCGGCAAACATTTCAATGTTCCCATGACCGGAAGAAAACCTATATTAAAACACACATCACAAATGTAAAAACTAAAAATTCCTAAATAATGAAATTCATTGCGTTAATGGGATTGAATTTGCTTTTTAATGTCAAGGTTCCCTTTGAACCTTGTTTGGACATTTCAATGCCCATGCAATCTAAAAACTTCACAGCAATTCCAGTAGAAAGATAATGGTACCTGGGAATCTGACAATTAAAGGATTTGAAAGATCCCACGTCAAGAGAAGATGGCGCTGGAAGAAATGCATTTGTAGCGCCAAATTCGGAGTTGGTAGATGCAGCTGAGCCATCTGAATCAATGGCCTCATTAGGTCCTCCATTGGAGAAAGTAGCCATGTAATCTCCAGCAGCTTTTGTGGGAGAAGCGAAAGGGCTATCTGGGAGGTTATGCTCCAAACTGCAACTATTCAGGAACCCAAATAGACAAATACATTACTTTTGACAATTAAATTTGGCAAATTGAATTATTGGAATAAATGCTAGGATCGCACTTAGCAAGGACTAAGAGAGGAATCTGATGGAAACAAAGGTGTTAGCTATTCTGGCAGCCTTTTATTATTCTAAATGAGAAAAGTTTCATACCATTCTTGAAAATTACAATCTTCATGACTAGAGCTCAGCTTGTCATTGCCATCACTGCCACTGCTACCTCCATTTTCGCCATTGGTTGTCACGTTGCCAACAGAAATATTCACCTTTGGCTGCATTGGTGGCTGCTGAGAAACAGAGATAGGTGCCGTGCTTGCAGGAGCAGAGCTCAAACCACAATCTGGAATCAGGCAATATAAATCTCAACCAGTTCATTCCAATCCCCAGAAAGAACCAAGTACAATTAAGAGCAATTGCAAGAGACTGTAATTAAAATGGCTTAAGTATAGATACCCTCTGGTGATGCCTCAGAGTTGCCACCATGAAATGAAGGAAGAACAAGATTCTGATTGACTATGTTGGGAGCGGGAGTAGGGGGAGGAATTGGGCTTCCTGTTGAAAATGCTCTCTGGTGCTGCTTCTTGATGTCAAGAAGTTGTAGACCCATGAGTCTCCTACTCTGGAGCTCAAGAGCTTGCTGCAAATCAGTTTGCTCCTCCAACTTCCTCCTCCACAGCATATCTTGAGTATTATAGTACATTCTCCCTCCTAAGTTTTAGGAAATAGTTAGCATCTCATGGCTAGCTCAAAATCTGAGACAGTCGAAAGCAAAAAGAAGGAACTTACCAAGTTGGAGATCAAATGGATCCCTAGCGTCAAGTCCAGTAGGAGTACCACACGGTGAGAAATCCCCCCTTTCAACCTGTTTCCTGTAAACGAAATGAAATACGATATTTTAGAAAAGCTCAAGTATATTGATTGATAATACTATGTATCACATCATGAGAAGAACGAGCAAAAGAAGAGAGGGAGAGAATGCCTGTACTTGTCTGGGACTTTGCCTTTTTCCTTGTAAGGCTTGACTAGCACGCGAGCATCACAGACGAAATGGGGGTTTCCCTTGGACAGGATGAGCTTCACAGTCTCTGGATGTACGAAAGTGACGAATCCAAACATACGCTTCTGCTGGTATGGAATCCTCACATCTTGAACAGGACCATAAATGCTTCAACAACAAAAAAATGAAAGAGTTAAATTTTATGCCCAGAAATAAATTGAATGTTGTGGCCAAAGCAGAAAAAGAAGTAACCTGAAGTAATTTGAAACATCTTCCTCTCTGAAAGTACTATCAGCTGGAAAGGTCAAGTAGATCTGCCTGGAAGCTGGGTTTCCTATTCCAGAACCTCCATTAAGTGAAAAATCATTTCTTTCTAGCCTGGATCGCCCAAACTTGTGCAAATCCTCGTTCATCATAAGTGCGGCTGCAGCTCTGTGTACCCCATCATTAAGAAAAACATGGTTATAACTCAAGAAACTTTTGATGTTTAAGAAAACACATTACGAAGCTCAACTTTTGTACCTCTGGGTATCATTTTGCTGCTGCTGTAGTAGAAAATTCATGCCCTTTGGAGAGTAAGGCATAGAAGAAGGCATGAGATATCTTTGCTGCTGAGCAGTTTTAGATCTGAGAAGCTCATGGCTGCTCTGGTCCAACATCTCAATCTTACTGGGAGACCCAACCATTGAAACACCATCAGAATCTCCAATTCCTCCCCCATGAAGGAACCTACAGCTAGTGCCGTTTTTGCAATACCCTCTAGCAAAGTAAAGACAAGGCTTCCAACCCAACCCAGAATTCGGATCCTCAGACCCCAAACAAGCTTCATTAACAGAGCAGCTTCGGCGATGGACTGACCCGCCCCACCCGTAAGAGGGGAAAACGGTAGTGTCGCCGCCGGTAGGACTAGAAGATAAGTCAGATTGAGGATAGAACAAATCTGGGTTCTTCCTGCCAAGGGTAGGAGAGCCATCATTGAGGAAAGAAAGCTGGTCCTGAAGTTGAAACTCGTCAATTGGATCAGACCCATAAAAGGGTAAGGAAGAAGATGGCGATGGAACGTTGATATGCGGAGAATTAGAGCCAACAAGCAAATTGTTGTTTGGGCTCATCAAGTTATCAGCCCAAGCCGGTGAAGAAGAGGGGTTTGGGATTGTAAGAGCAGGAGGAGGAAAGTTGACTCCGGTGTTGCTTAGCCTTGAAGGAGTAGAATTTTGCCTTGAAAGGAAAGACGACGAAGAAGAAGATGGAGGAGGAGTTGAAGGTGTAGACGGAGAGTACGAGGATAATCCCAAGTCCCTGCGAGCTTTGACAATCACAGAGTGAACCAGAGCTTCAGGACCAAATGCTAATCTAATCATTTCTTTCTCCCCATGGTCTTGAATCAGAAGCAGGCCCATGATTTTGGAAGCATTCTCAGGGTCCAAGTTTTGGATCCGTGAGAAAACAATTCTTGTAGCTTCATACCCATCCATGGCTGCAAACCAAATACTTGGTTGTCTGTTTTGATGAGTTGAGTGCTGTATCTATCTGTTGTTCTATCTCTATACTCCCCAGTGGCTATGTATGTCTCAGTCCTGCTGCTACAAGTAAAGTTTCTTTCTCAACCACACACACAAGAGACCTACCTACCAACTTGAGAGGATGAGTGGTAGCACAGTGTCTTGCTTTCTCATATTCCTGCAAAGCCAAAGCCCAAAAAAAGCAGGTTAAAGAAGGTAAAGAGGGGAAATAAGAAAGTGAAGTGTTAGACTTAAAAGGCGTATTCTCGTGGGGTTGTTTAAAAAGGAGACTGATGGAGGATGCCCAGAGGTTACCCTTTGATCAAAGGAAGAAGGAAGAACAACTACAAGAGCGTAAGAGAGAGAGAGTGATAAGAGAGACATAAGATGGTGGTTGAATTCCTCTATAAAGAAGTAATGAGTGCAAAAGTTGCAGAAACAACAAAAGAAAGAAACAGCAGGGGGAAAAAAAAGTTTAATCTTTTAAAAAAAGGAAAAAAAGAGAGAAGATTTCACTTCCCACTTTATCTTCTTCCTTCCTCCAGCTTCTAAATCTCCCATCCTCCTTTCCAAATTAAAATTGAAACCCAAGTATGAGCAGAAGAGTACGGACTTACCCATGAACGATAATCTTCTCATCATCCTCGTGGCCTTCGGATTTCTCTGTTCAAAACAGAAAAATAGCAGTCAAACTTACTACAATAGCCAAAGCACTCTCTTCTTTATAGCTTCTGAGCAGAAGCAGGAGAAGGAGAAAGAAAGAACCAGCAATTGCTACTACTCTCGCTCGCTGCACCCTCTGCTCTATTTTATGGGGCTCTGGGCTAAGTGCGGGCAGTGAATTTAAGGACTTTTCTCTCTCTGCCCCCTCAGATTTTCTTCTCTCTCTACAGCCCCTCTCTCTTTCTTTCCATGTTCTTTCAAAATTAAAAACAAGAAAAATTTATTGTCTGTGTTTGCGTTTGAGGGTGTAGGGTGATCGGGCTGTACTTCTACGTTTTCCGTAGACATTAACGTCCTTTTGAGAAATTTTTTGCCTAAACCGGACGTGAAAGATGTCAAGTTATTTTTTTCAAGTTATGTTTTTGTTTTTTTACAGTTCAAGTTAGTCAGTGCAAGTTAATTCTTGATTTCTAAGCATTTGTAAGAAGATATAATCGTCACTGAATCAGATTAGATTTATGTGGAAGTTTTGGAAAAATATGCGTACCTGTCCGCAGAGCATAAAATACCAGCTGCTCCTTGCTCCTTTATATTAGTCACGTTTTAGAAATATAATATAATTTATTTTATAAGTCATTAGTTAATAAAATTATATTATTTTAAATTAAAATTTTAAAACTAAGAAAGATGAAAATAAAAAAAACATTATATAATTGACTTAATTTTTAGTTGAGAGTTATGTTTAAAATTTTATTTTTTTATTTTTTATACTTTTATAGTATTGATATTGATAAGATTAATAAAAATAATTTATAAAAAAATTAAAAAAATATATTATTTAAAACTTATTTTTGGCCTGATATATAGTTTAGAACTGACCAAACCTTTTATGTCTTTACATATCTTTGGCCCAAAAAAGTGTGTGTACTTACATATTATGACTTATATGATACAGTGATAGAGTTAAACTCTGTAAAATTAGGATTGATGAATTTAAATAAAATTCTCTTCTTTTGTATTTTATTTATTTTATCATTTTATAAAATATAAAATATTCTCTCTCTTTAGTAAAAGGAAATACTTCATAAAACTTTATCAATCTCATATTCAAATGATTTAAATCCATTAAAAATATTACATACTACGTGTGGTCAATATTATAAATCATATTTTTCAAGTATCAAGTTTAAAATTATAAATATTTTAAATTTTTCAAAATATAATTAATAACATTTTATAATTAAGACATCATATTAAGTAATGATAAAAATAAAAAAAATATATAATTTTAAAGATAATTAATTAATTAAAGGGTGCAATTCAATTAAAATATTTTATAAAAGAGTAAGAGAGAAGGATTTGGACCCTCTCATCATTTCTCTCTGTGTTCTCCTTATCTCATCCTCACTCTTGATTAAAACTTTAATAGTTGAGATTTAATTAAATTCATTTAGTTATTTTAATTACAGCGTGCAGTTAGTTTACAGTTGTGAAATGCTTAAAGCATGTTTTAACAGTTTAGATCTATTCATTTGTTTGTTTGTAATAGTTTAATAAAAACATTAAACCTCATATGTAGAAAATTTAATCCAAGGGTGAGCATAGGATGAAAAGAAGAAAATGAACGAAAGGAAAATGAGGAGATCCAAATCTGAGACTAACAAGGAGGGTACGGTTTGTAACTCGTTGGAAAATACTGTATTTGTTTGTCTTCAAAAACTAAGAATTAAACTTTTGCACAGCATACGGAGGGCCATTTGGTTTTCCATTTATTGGAAGTCATAAAAGTCAAATATTACAATGAAATTTGTGGTAGGATTTTAAAAAAAGTTAGTTTGATAGATTAAAAATTATTTAGATAGAATGTATAATAAAAAGTACTTTCACATGTATAATTACAAAAAAAAAAGACATTGATTTCATGATATGTAATTTTTATTACACACATGTTAAATAATAAATTAACACTCTCTCTATCCTAAATTATAAGATACTTTTAAAGAAATTTTTTCATCCCAAAATATAAAACATTTTGAGTAGATTAAAGTTTTATTAAATGTACCAATTTTAATATTACTCTTTCTTTCTATATATAATTAATTTTTATTTCTTTTACAATGTGTTAAATTATGAATATTTTTGAAATTTTATATTTTTGTTTATATTTAATGAGATTTATCAGTATGTGATATTTTATCTAAAAATATCTTATAATTTAAGATAAAAAAAGTAATAAATAATGACTCTTCATTAGCCTTGCTCATTAGTCATTACCCCAATCTCATAAGTTACTCTATCTATCCCAAATTATAAGATAGTTTTAGATAAAATCTCACATATCAATAAACCTCATTAAATACATTTAACAACCTTATCATTCCAAAATAAAAATATAAACTTTTAAAAATACCCATCATTTAATATATTGAAAAGAAAAAAGATAAAAATTAATTATAGAGAGATGAAAGTTAATATTGAAATTGACGCATTTAATGAAATATTAATTTACTCAAAGTGTCTTATATTTTGAGACGAATAAATTTCTTTAAAAGTAACCTCTAATTTAGAACGGAGGTAGTACTTTCCTTTATTTGTTTGTCTAACACATTAAATATGTAGTAGTACTAATTATTTTTCTTAAGCTAATAAAATTTTAGTTTAATGCTTATGGTCACTTCCTGTGTGATTTCCCTAGTCTCCCTGCAATTTATGGTTTATGAAAAACTACAAGCCTAACAATCTATGAAAAATATAATGTTTGGTAAATAATCATAAGGGTGGAATAGTAAAACAAAAAATAATCAGTCCCTCTTAATGCCCAAACTTCAATTTCAAATATAAACTTAAGCAAAAGTAGCTTTAAGAAAATGGACCTTTGATGACTTTTTCCATGGACATTTTCAAAGGGTTTTGAAAAATTTTATATAAACCAAACAACTTTTATATTTAAAATTTGTCAAAAGTACTTCACAAAATTAAAAGCTTGTTAACCAAACACACTAAGAAAACAGGAATTCTTGCATTAATTTAGAAAATATGGTTAATTCATTACATTTATTTGTAAATGAAAAAGTTTTTCCGACTTTATTTTTCTTCAAGAGCATTAAAAAAAACACACACAAACACACACACGCCATCAAATACTAAATCTCCTTCTAATCGATTGTAACAGAGTTAACGTAAGAAAAAGTTCATTAAAAAGCCAGCCGGTGACTTACATATGAGATCATAAATTTCTTTTAAAAATCCATTTGTTAATCTCAAATAATAATTTATTCTGTCTTTTTTTATTATGCCATGTTAACTTCTCCTCCATCTCAAATTATACGACAAATTGATATAAGAGTTTACATATCAATACATTTTAGTGATGACACTTTATAAATTTAATTTTTTAAAATAAAATATAAATTTTTAAAAATATTATTCATTTAATGTAACTTAAAATCTATACACTTAATATTACATTACAATCACTCAATTTTTTCTCCATTTAGTGGATAATATTGAAAAAATTTATTAATAAAACATTGTTTTTTTATCAAGGATGAAAAGAATACCTCTAGAGTTGTCATATAATTTGAGACAGAAGAAAAGTAATACTTTTAAAAAATTAAGAAATTAGTCTAAGTTGAATATCATTTAAAATTACTCTTAATCAGAAAATTCAAATTTAAACTGGAGTGAAATATAAAAAAGCACTTTAAAAGTGTGACACTAATATTTTATTAAATTTTATAAATAGGATTGATTATAGTATTTTTTTTAGTTAGAATCATAAATAATACTACCAATTAGCCATAATACTCTCCTGTTCAATAAATTTTTGCAAAAAATAATCTTAATTAAATAATATAATTAATAAAAATTTTTAATTTATAATATTAGACTGAGAATGGCAAAAGTAAAAAATAAAAAATAAAATAGTCCTGTTATCTGCAAACTATTAACAATCCCACTTGCTATTTCTCATATGATGTGAAATGCATGGACCTGTTTCCAATTGTTTCCCTTAATTTATATATATATATATATATTATAATAATGAGAGCATATTTTAGATCTGTGCCTGAAAGAGTGCACGTTCACTTGCCCCTACCTTCTGACACTATTTTTCAATTTTCAATTTTCTGTGCCTTTCTTTCCCGAGCAGAGCACACTCACGCTTTGATGTTTTGTTCGACGCTCCTGGACGAGTCTTCTGTTCACGCGCCAGTGGAGTCTCTGATGAGCCTTGTGGGCCCTCTCGACTATTCCATCATCAGCATTAATTCGAGAGTAGTACTCACGCGCTTATGGCGTTGCCTTGATTGGGTCATCAAGTGCTTTTATAGGACAGTCAATGCTTTTGCAATCAAATGCTCTCTCAATCGTTTCTCTGACTCTAACGCTCTCTACAGTTATGTTTTTATTTTAGCAATCACTCTACAGTTATGTTTATAGTAAAATCACAACAGTGAAAAAATTAATATTATTTTAGCATACACATCAAGAATCATGCTCAATCAATATCACCAATCAAATATCAATATAAAATTAGAAACTGACAAAACTTGTTTATCATTATTATTTATAAATTATAAATGTAATTTTCATTTTAATTTAAAATATAAAAATTTATATTAAAATTTTACTAGTATTTACAAAGCCCGAAGGCCTTTTTCTTTAATTGTTGACAATATATAAATGAAAACTTATCTCACATTTTATATTTTATCTAGTTTAGAATTACAAATCATTTTTAACTAATTTACACATACAATAAGTTAGTTAATGGCTTTTAAAATTATTATTTACTCCTTCTGTTTAAAAACATAAAGCATTTTTTAAAAAAATAAATATTAAAAAATATAAGATATTTTTATTTTTAATCTTTCAAGACGTAATCATTGCTTTTTTTTAAAAGTATCTCTACTAAATGAATCATTTTATTTATTTTAGGGTGTTTAATAGGGGTAAATATAAAAATTAATTTGAAAATAAATAAATACTTTATTAGGTGAGATTTAGTTAAAAATATCTTATATTTTTTTAACAAATGGAGTATATGTTTGCTCTTATTTAATAAGATGTGTTAATTAAAAAATTAGTAATTACAACCCTAATTAAAGAAAATTAAAACCTTATTACTTAGGCTTTGAAAGAACACAAATGTTTCATATATTGTCCATTAATTGTTATAAAATAAATTTTCTAAAATAGGCTAAAGTGTAATTTTAGTCATTTAATTTTACACAATATTTCA